TTTCGTATCTAAGCTTATTACAGAATCTTTAAATATTCATTTGGTTCATTTCTACATATTTTATTTTCTTGTTTTTTAATTATCATTCTGTATACTAATATAGAAATTTATTTATTTTAGCTGAGCAAATGCAAAACTAATCATGTACACCTTACAACTGTTAGTCACCGATCCAAAACTCATGATGTACACTCTGTTCAGTCTTGTGATGTATTAATTTGAAATACATCATGCACACTTTACGACTCTTATGTTAGTTAGAGTCACCGATCTAGAACTCGTGATGTATACTCTGTTCAATCATGTGATGTATTAATTTGAAATACATCATTTACACTTTACAACTCTTATGTTAGTTAGTCACCGATCCAAAACTCACGATGTACACTCTGTTCAATCATGTGATGTATTAATTTGAAATATATCATGCACACTTTACGACTCTTATGTTAGTTAGAATCACCGATCCAGAACTCATGATGTATACTCTGTTCAGTCATGTGATGTATTAATTTCAAATACATCATTTACACTTTACAACTCTTATGTTAGTTAGAATCACCGATCCAGAACTCATGATGTATACTCTGTTCAGTCATGTGATGTATTAATTTCAAATACATCATTTACACTTTACAACTCTTATGTTAGTTAGAATCACCGATCCAGAACTCATGATGTATACTCTGTTCAGTCATGTGATGTATTAATTTGAAATACATCATTTACACTTTACAACTCTTATGTTAGTTAGAGTCACCGATCCAGAACTCATGATGTATACTCTGTCCAGTCATGTGATGTATTAATTTCAAATACATCATGCACACTTAACGACTCTTATGTTAGTTAGAGTCACCGATCCAAAACTCACGATGTAAACTCTGTTCAATCTTGTGATGTATTCATTTGAAATACATCATGCACACTTTACGACTCTTATGTTAGTTAGTCACCGATCCAGAACTCATGATGTATACTCTGTTCAATCTTGTGATGTATTAAATTTGAAATACATCATGCACACTTTACGACTCTTATGTTAGTTAGAGTCACCGATCCAAAACTCATGATGTACACTCTGTTCAATCTTGTGATGTATTAATTTGAAATAAAAGTCATAATGAACAATATTCTTCAACACTTGTGATGTTGTGATGCAGTAATTAAAATTTCAAGCACAAATGGTAACACATAATATTGATGATAGAGCCTTTAAAATAGAAATTAACCAACGCTTATTTTTTCCTTGCCTAAACTAATACATTACCTGATATGCAGATCATAATTTAACATTTATTCCTGAGATCATTTACTTATGCACAAGGCTAAATTCATTGCTGCTAAGCAGTTATTGTTCTGGCCATAAAACTAAGTACGCTTGTATCATTATATCATAAGATTTACTAGCCTATCATAATTGATAAAGTCAATCACACAGACTTTGCCTGAAGATGAAGTAGTAATTCTTATGCATACATATAAATAAATGTACGTGTATTTCATGATTAATTAATTTAACTGTTTTCAGAAAGAATTATTAATGTCAAATATTTCTATCATTTCTTAATCTAAGTGTAATATCATATCATTTTCAGTTATAACAATAGTAGAGCTTTTACGATCCAAGAAGCTTGAAACTGTATTAGTAATTAGTACTGACAATACAAGCAAAAAGAATGAAAAGCTATTATAACTACCGCTAGGTGATTGTGATTATTTGCGAGACATTATGATATCCTTCGAAATTTTAAAAAATAGTTTTGTCGATACATTTATCAAAGTTACCATTTTCTTTAAGATGTGGTATGTATGTATACTCTGTACTTCCTACATCCTGCAGGTACTTTAAGATGTGGTATGTATGTATACTCTGTACTTCCTACATCCTGCAGGTACTTTAAGATGTGGTATGTATGTATACGCTGTACTTCCTACATCCTACAGGTACTTTAAGATGTGGTATGTATGTATACTCTGTACTTCCTACATCCTGCAGGTAATAAGCATGTCTTTTTAAAATAGAAAGTGTTACGTATTACAAGTTCGAATGGTCTGAAATCGAGCTAAATGATAATTTATATTTAATAGTTAAATAAATACCGATATATATTCAATTTATGATATTTGCCAACAAGATTGATACACACAGTTTTCTTTCCTTTTAAATACAAATATATTTTAATACACAAACAATAATACAGTTTACAATAACGGTTATTACGAATACTTGTTACAAACAATGATTTATATATAAAATAGTTTTACAAACTTACAAGCAATATAAAGTCTTCTTTCTAGTCTGGAACTTCCTTGATATCTTATCGAGGGTTCACGCTGAGCGAGTTAATTTCGAGTTGATGTAGGTACAATTCACTTATTAGGAAGCTAGCTAGCTCTGTGGGCCTCGCCGATCAGACGTCGATTACAGGTCGAACTTGAGTCTTTTACCGCTGAAGTTATATAACCTTTATAAATTCATCTGACTGTGAACTTTGAAATATCCATCTATCTATCTGTATACTGTCAGGTTTATCAATAATAATTCGGTGTCAGAATTTACGAATTATATAAAAATGTTTCAATTACATTTCTATAGTTTTGTGAAATACACATATATGGGTATATATCCTATCAGTATCAGAACCAGGGTTTGGAATAGTACCGTCGGTACCAGGTTGCCGGTACCGGTACCTGTACTCAAATATCTATATTCTTGTGACTTGAGCAGTTGGAAATTTAATTATTCTTCCCAGTGTGTTCTCGTGGGAAAATCTTTTTTTTCACATCAAACCAAGTTATCTGTTATCTGTAATTCCACGTGGTATGACAACTAAGGCAATGAATCAGTTATAATCTAGGCTTTCTATTGGCTATAAAGTTAATGGGTATCGGCCTCAGAAAAATTTGTAAATTAGAGCATATCAGAAGTAGGTGTGGAAATTTTTTCTGAATTTTCATTAATTGCTCTTTAGCCTCATAAAATTGAAGAATATAAAAATATAGCTTCAAAATATCGATGACGAAATTATAGAGAATATTTTACTTTACATTTCGTAGTTTTCTAGATGGTGGACAAAAAAATACAGACGAGAAAATGGCTCAAGAACAAATATCCAAATTGTCACACTAGAGGAATTTGAGGTTGTTTTAAATATTTTATTATAAAATTACAACTTACATCATATTAAAAGTTGATTTATTATCAAATTTAACTATTTATTATCTATGGTTTGATGTCAAGTTTATTCATATACCATGATAATTAAATAGATTAATTAAATTTTGAAAATAATAATTCACTAAAACGTCCTGAAATCAACATTTTGATCTATAAAGATTGCATTTTACAGAACTACCTCTTCACGTTTGGGCCAGGCATGGCCAGGTGGTTAGGGCAATTGACTCGCAAAAAAAAATCATGATACATTTGTTTAATAAAGTTTTTCATATTTTACTGCGTTAGTTTCAAAATTGAGCAAGTTTTGAAGCTTAGTTTGATACGCTTTAATTTTGAATAAAGCAAACTACAATGGAGAAAACAAAGTACATATAATAAATTATTACTAAGGAAATATTATAACAGTATATAGAAAAATTATGTAATAAAATTGAGCAGCGTGTCTGTCACGTGGGATTCATTAGGTAATTTAATTGTATCCCTATATTTGACATTTGCTTCCACCATTTTTATCTATTTTCAAAGTGAATACAACTTCATATTGTGTTATTTTAGAAAGAATATATTTATTAACAAATGGTTTACAGCTGCCTGGCATATATATATATACGAAGCACCGTTCATGAACCCAAGGTCTCAACACTCAAGTCTTCATGAACAATAGCTATGCTTACTTCAACATCTACAGAAAACAACGTAATTTTCCTTTTTTTCCATAATCTCAACAATTTCTTAGGCTCAAAGAAGATGTACTAAGCTCTCTTCCTTGTTCATTTTAAACTTAACATAAATGTTATATTTTCTTTTAAAACACACGAATGTTTGTTACATAATGTTGAATTATGACGTTTATTCCTTCTTGTTCACACGTAGTTATAATTTCCATTACAAATTGTTATAATGGACACAATGAACTTAAAATATGTCAAGTATAATACTAGTTATATAATGATATGCACTTATCATGTTTGTAGGTGTGTTTGTCAAAGAGATCGTTATCTTATTTAATGTCTCTATCAGACCATCATATCGTTTTTGGCATTGTTTGTTTGTTTTACACTTTCCCATTCGTGTACCATAATTAGTGATATATTTCATGCTGCTCTCATGTACCAATGATAATGTTCATTTCTGCCATTTTGTTTTTGGGAGGATGTTATTATTTTATTTTTTAATGTCAAAGGATGGTTCGTAAACATGTTGCCATTGTATGTATTAGCACTTAATTAATATATATATATATAAATATATACATTACTGGAGAACGACTGTGTATATTCTATACGATGTCTCAAATATATACTTATGTAAGTTTTCACTTTTAATTGATATAAAAAACACCAAAATATTAAACTCTAATATAAATAGTACGTAATGAAAAACAGAGCAATTCTGAAATACTTGCAATGTCATGAGCCGGATGTCATTTTACCCTTGAAAAGTAATGAAATTTACTTCGGTTAAAGTGTGGGAGGTTAAAGTATGCAGACATTTTGAGCTCAAAATACAAGCCTTATAATATAATTTTTGTACTTAGTACCAAGATCGATATGTACAAGACATTATTATTTTTTATTGCCTTTCGAACTCTTTCTCTTTAATAGAACAGATGGAGGTTAGAACAATATGATATACATATATTTCATTTACTTTTAAAGTCTATGTAATCATATTTGTATCTTAACTATTAGAATGTGTTATTCAATGTTGAAATACGTACTGAAAAGCACAATAATGCGACTGGTTCCTGATAGTAACATATTTATTTATTCCCTAAAGTAATTATTAATGATGTTATTTGTAACTTTTTTATCTTTAGCTTGTTCGCTAGTTAGTCAAGGCGTCGTTGCTATTTTTGGGCCACCAGATCCGTTCCTAGGTAACCATATCCAGTCCCTATGTGATGCCTTGGATATTCCTCATCTTGTATCTCATTTGGAGATGGAAGGTGAAGTAAAGGATATATCCATTAATCTATATCCTAATTCCCGCATGGTAGGGGACTCTCTAAGAGATTTGATCAAATACCTGAACTGGACATCGGTAGCTGTGATGTATGAAGAAAACGCCTGTGAGTAAAACGTTATACACAAAATGATCTCCTTAAGCTTTTTATCATTACAAGGCGAAGAGGCGTGTATCTAACATTTCTTTAGGTGTAAATCTCATTTTAGTGTTTAACGAATTCCATAACAAACTTTTTAATAATATTCCTACTACTGAAGAGCGATTTTAATTAATTTTGCACTTGCAAAATATTTTATCTAAATCAGAAAATTATATACATCTACAAATAAAAGAATAAAACCTATAAATGAAGTTGTTAGTTGAATTTTTAGGAATTCCTGAAAATTTCTTTATGTAATCAAATATATTTCATTGTCTTTGTTTAATGTTTGCATAAGGTATAACTGATTCAATGTGTAATTTCTATAATGCCACAACTGGTGTTAGAAATTCTGTTTGTTTTTATTTTGAGTATTAAATTTGTTGAATTAATAATATTTTATCTATTTAAGATTGTGTAAATACATTTATTTTGTCTGTAGCGTTGATTAGATTACAAGAACTCGTACGACCGCCCCTACCACAAACAGTGCAGTTCATGTTTCGAAAATGTGATCGAAATAGCTTTCGAGAGACTCTTCGTGACATTAAGACAAGAGGCGTATACAGCATTGTAGCGGATATCCGACAAAGCAGTGTCCCTCTCTTACTAAGAGCAGTAAGTACAGTTTGTCCACAAATTTTATGGCTGAACAGAATACATTTTAGTTTTGTCATTCTCACCAATAAAAATCATGGACGTGTGATTGTGTTGTCAATGGTTCAAGCCCCAAATTAATGTCAGTTAAATACAATCAAAAGTGCAAGAATTTTCAAAACTATAGATGGGTTCTCTTTAAACTACTACAACGTAAAGAACTGTACAGAAGTCAACCCATTAAACACAGCGCATGCTAGTTATTCTTGTCTCAAAGATGTTATCGATTTAACGTGTTTAATTATTAAAAACAAGTAATCGTGAACATAACCATAAATAAATATTTTGTTACTTTTGATATACATTTTGTTGATTAATTACGTCTGTATTTGAAGATAAAATTGATATTTAAAGAGACATTGTTTGCTTATTTTTAAAAAGCTTTTAATTTCTTTAACTAACATGATAATCCAAGAAAGAAAATAAAACATAATAGTAGAATAATAGGCTATATCTAACTGGAACTGGCTGCAAGCCTTAAACATATCCGAGAATAAAACTTGCCAGAACTTCATAAGACCTATAAACCTAACAATCATAAAATAAAAGAAACTATCACACATATTTTTATAACTTTTTAAGTTGTATGCCTTTCTAGCTTTGTATTTTAATGATTTTTATTACTTTCATGAAATATAGATTCTCCAAGTCCAAATGAACGACTACAAATATCATTACCATTTTTTCACGTTTGTGAGTATATCTTGCAAGTTGCTTATTCCAAATGTGCATTAAAATATGCAACAATAGATAAATTAATTATTTTATAAAATATGCAACAATAGATAAACTAATTATTTTATAAAATATGCAACAATAGATAAACTAATTATTTTATAAAATATGCAACAATAGATAAACTAATTAGTTTATAAAATATGCAACAATAGATAAAGTAATTATTTTATGAAACATGCAACAATAGATAAACTGATATCGGCTACATACTTGTAAATAAGAGTTTTTTTTATTAAATTCTTATTAGGTATATTTTCAAAGTTTAATAGATTCGATAAATAACAATGAACCAGGCCATTAAGAACTGACATCTCCTCAAGTTGTCATTCCAAGTCTCATAATAGCAAATTTCTGTATAACTTAGAATCATAATAAAAACTAAGGTCTTCAAATCAATATATTCTATTATCTGGAGAAAGAAATAGAAATCAGCCTCTTAGTTCTAATAGTATAATACGTCACCCAAGCTTTTCCTCTTTAATTAACCACAAGTTACTAGAGGTGCTATCTAATTCATGTGCTAGGAACATGTATTAAACGTAAAAAAAAGTATTTCTTAAAATAAGAAAACGTATTTTCTATAAAAATGGTATAAGACGTATAACATAATAGTATAAAATATATAAAACTGCTTTAAAGCTACTATTTTGAAATATAAGCAACATTTCATGATTTTTAAATTAAGTATATACATATACATTATAATATTTTATATACAACCTCACGTACTAAATCTTATATAGAGAACAGTAACCACTAAGAATATGTTTAAATAGAAACCTTTAACTTATCTTTGAAACTAACTTTTAACAAACCATTTATTTTTGTTATAGGATATTGAAACGTTTGAATTAGAAGACTTCAAATACAACTTTGTCAACATGACAGCGTTTAGATTAGTTGATTCTAACCATCCTACTGTGCGCGAGATTCTGAAAGACATGGAGAATTTTCAATCCATAGGGCACAATATTTTGAATAAAACCAATGTGATTATGGTAATGTTTTCAAATTCTTATCTTTAGCGCTTTTTATTCCGTTAAGATTCTGCGTTTCGTTTCAACTATTTAAACTGAGATTTAACAGTAAGTTGCATATTCTATTCATTCTTATAGAAATACTCTGCATCTAATATAGTCGAACACAATATATAAAGTTATCTTCTTTTCACAACAACAGTTGCAACATGCTTAGATGTAAAATTTGTTTGTTTGTTGTTAGGTGACAAGTTACACAATGTTACACTATACTGTGCTTACCGCGAGTATCGAAACCCAAGTTTTAGTAATATAGCCCTCAAACTTACTGCGGGTACTCGACGCATAAAAAGTATCTTTGTCAAACCTTTATTATTTTATGATTTTTAAAATCATATGAACTCCAGGCGACTCTTCAAAATAGTATCTGTTTATACCTGTACCCCAGTGGCACAGCGGTATGTCTGCAGACTTACAATGGTAGAAACCGGGTTTCGATACCCGTGGCGGGCAGAGTACAGCTTGTTTATGCCTATTATTGTATTTTCTTATGTTAATATAAATTATACACTAGAATATTATAGAATTATTTCGCTTTATAAAGTACAAACTACTTTATCTGTATTTTTCATGTGAAATACTTATCTTTAATTGCTGTAGACGGAACCAGCTTTGATGTATGATTCAGTTTATGCTCTAGCAAGAGGGCTAGAAGCTTTTCAACGCGGGTCTTCAAACAATCACCCATCAAATGTTTCCTGTGAAAACGAAGATCCGTGGGATGACGGCAGTAGTTTAACAAACTACATTAATGCAGTAAGAAAACTGGTCAATTTATTGACATCCATTAATGCAAAGAAGAGCAAATACTGCAAAAGTCTGTAATCGATCTGGTTCACTTACATGTTAGATATTAATTTGTATATTACAGTTTGCAACAAGATAATGCTAGTTTTTTTCTATGTTAGCAACATTAATTTATCTGTTCTAATTCCTATGTTGGAGCGAGGAGGAAGAGGTATACGTAGAGAATTAGTAAGTAACAGTGTTTCTCAACCACTGGTCCGTGATATTCCACGAAAACAAACAACCAGAATTTGACAGAATGTTCATGTGTAAATGATAATGTTTTAGGAGAGGCAGTGATCCGGTCTCTGGTATAGAAACGCTGATATGGAATACCTCTTGAATCATAAGAAACATAAAATCAGTTCTCTCATACCATTAAATCTTAGTGTTTCAACAATCCTGGTGTTGTTTTGATTTGTCAGATTTGATTCTAATTATTCAGTTGACTTTATCGATTACATTTTCACAATGATCTGCAAAAAAAAAAAGGAAAAAACTGATAAGTGCCAATAGGATGAATTTCGATTCATATTTCAACAAACGCTTGTAAATCATTTCCTTTGATCGTTGTTTTTAGTGCAAACTACACAATGTGCTTTTGGTTCACCGCGGAGAATTGAACCCCAGATTATAGCGTTTTGAGTCCGTAAATTTAGCGTTGATCCACTGGAGGACTTTTCATTTGTAAGTTTTCAAAACATAAGGATGCAGCCATTTATTTTCTAGAAACAAGGAATAGTTTGTCTAACCTTATTATAATTATGTGCTCTACATGTTATTTTAAAAATTACAACTGTGTGTACCTAGATGGATAAAACTCAACATCAGCGTTTTAAATGTATTGCACATTTTCACGTATGGTTTGTAGCGCCACCCAACGGGGTACATTCTTGTGGGTGGCTAAAAAAAGTTGCAATTTAAAACTCACCATCAGCGTTTTAAATGTATTGCATATGTTCACGTATGGTGTGTAACGCCAACCAACGGGGTACATTCTTGTGGGTGGCTAAAAAAAGTTGCAATTTAAAACTCACCAACAGCGTTTTAAATGTATTGCACATTTTCACGTATGGTGTGTAGCGCCACCCAACGGGGTACATTCTTGTAGGTGGCTAAAAAAAAGTTGCAATTTAAAAGTCAACATCAACAGATCGATTATTAATAATGATCTTTTCTCATCTTGCTATTACGCATAATATTCTGTGGAAACATATTACCGATTAGGATCAATATTATCGATAATTTTGTTTACGCTTATAAATTTTTAGCCCTAATAAAAGTGTATCTGCAATACCTTATTACGTTTCCTAGAAACATTATTTATCATGCCTAAATTCCTAGATAAAATATTAAAACGTTATATTAAAACTATCAGTCTGTCAATACAGGGATCAAAATTTCTTGGTATTATAAGTTTATTGGGTAGTTATAGAAAGTGTTAAAATAGCTTCTTCGGGAAAGTGTTAAAATAGCTTCTTCGGGAAAGTGTTAAAATAGCTTCTTCGGGAAAGTGTTAAAATAGCTTCTTCGGGAAAGTGTTAAAATAGCTTCTTCGGGAAAGTGTTAAAATAGCTTCTTCGGGAAAATTTTCCTTAACGCTGATTGAGAGAAAATAATTTTGTGAAAACTATATGTTGATCACCAGAAATATAAATGTAGTTTCTATTGAATATTTATAAAGTAGAAACCAAATTTCGTTTATTTAATCCTGAGATATAATTTTTAAGATCTTTGTGTTCTTAGTTATGAAATCCTGAATTTTAATTTGTGTACCAAGTCTTTATGAATGAGTAAAAATAGATTAATTTTGAACATGCGTACAATGAGAGTAGGCCTTTCCTGTGTCATTAAAGATTTTTAATCCAGTAGTAGACTTAATCCTGAGATATAATTTTTAAGATCTTTGTGTTCTTAGTTATGAAATCCTGAATTTTAATTTGTGTGCCAAGTCTTTATGAATGAGTAAAAATAAATTAATTTTGAACATGCGTACAATGAGAGTAGGC